AGGTGATCAGAATCCTTGTGTTAAAAATACAAGCAAGCTGATGTGGTTAACCACCAACAATATCAGATGTGTATAGTGTGTGTGCATGTGTGTGTGTGTGTGTCTGTCTGTTTGTGTGTGTGTGTGTGTGTGTAACACTCCGCCTGCACCAGGGCTACCTGAGCATAGCACAGTTATCCCCTTCCTGAGGGAAGTTGCGGGATGGAGGAGCTGAGCCCCTATGACAGGTGGGTGACTTGGAAGCACTAGTGTGTGTGCATGAGTGTGAGTGTGTAAGTGTGCACTTGTATGCATGCACAAACACACAAGCAGAGGTAGCTCTGTATGAAAGGCTCCTCTCTGTGCCCCACCCTGACAATCTCAGGACTAAACATCTCCAGGGGATGGGGGGGACACTGAGTCTCAGACTCTTTGCTGCCTCCTGATCCCTAAGGGGGCTCTGTCCTCCCTGCAGAGGAGCCCCCAGCTCCCAGGCCTGTCTCCTCCTCCCACTGGGAAACAAGACCCTCAGGACCTTGCTCCCTGCTCCCAAAGGCTGTCTTGGGCCTGGGTCCCCATGGACATTAGCCTGCCACAGACGGTCCTGAGGCACCAGCCGGGTCGCTGTGGTCCCGGGGGCTTCTGAATGGCCCCAGAGAGACAAAGAGGAGCCAGCCCTGCCCCTCGTGCAGGGCTTCCTGTCTCCTGGGGGTCCCTGCCAGTCCCTTCAGGTGACCTGTCTCAACTTTTCTCTGCCACCTTTTGCCACAGAATCAGAAACCCAGAGAATCCCCTGAAAGTGCGTCCCCTTGGGCAGAGGACCAGTGGGATAGAAATGGGCTCTCGACTGCTGTGGACCAGGGCTGCTCCACCTCTGCAGATGATGCTCTCTTAGCTCCACCCTCCCTCAGGTGGTAAGAGCCAGATCCAGCGCCTCCACCTCAGGGCAGGGCTGGTGTCGGGGATTGCAACTCTAAGTGCCTCTAGGTTCTCTGAGCTCCTGCTTAATGACAGTTCTCTCCTGTGCTCGCCATGGACTCCCCTGGAGGGTGGGGAGCTGACCTCCCACTGACGTCTCTGGGTGTGGGAAGGGAAGGCCTGCTGACCAGCTGGCTTCACGTTAGGCCAGTCTCCTCAGGGTCTACCTGGTGTCCATCTCTCTAGATCTTTTTTCATGGTCATTCCCTCTCCCACACAGGGCAGTCCAGTTTTGGGGCCATAGACGTGGCTGAGTGGACACAGAGTTCTGCCGTTCAGTGGGCACTCCACCCACCACCCCTGTTCCCAATAGGACCCTCCACAAGCACCCAGGGGCCTCCCACATCCCTGGCCCAGCACAAGCAGAGAGGACACCACGGATCCCAGCCCAAACCATTGGTAAGGGCCTGCCTCTGGGACCACACCTGGGTGGCGGTGATGTGGAGGGAGAGGGAGAGGGACAGCGTCTTCCTCCTCCGGACATGGCCAGGCTGGGTGGGGGGTGGAGGGACCTTGACACTCTCTTCACCGTGGAAAGACAAGCCTTGGTCACAAGTGTCAGCCTCTATGTAAACCCAGCCCCCTGAGGCTGGTGGCACCTGAGCTGAGTGTCACCACCATCAGCAGCCAGGAATTCTAAGGCTGATGTTTTGGAAACACTGGGCAGGGCCAGTTCCTCCCTCTCAGAGACAAAGTGTCCCTGCCCTCGCGGCAGAGACAGTGCTGACATCAGACAGATGGCCAGGTTTTGGAGCCCTGTGCCCGGACCCTAATGGTGAAGAGTGAGGTAGCAATTCCTCCCCTGGACACCAGTCCCTGCTGGAACCCTCAGCTCCCCTGTCATTCTCCTGGTGGCCGAGCCCTTTCTAGTCCACTGTCTCAGGTCCAGGTCAACTCTGAATCTGAGAGTCATGGCACTGGTCCTTGGAATGGGGCTGACCTGTCCTGGTTTGGTCTTTATGTAGATGGTTGTGTCCACAGAATCTGGACATAAGGAACTGGAGAAAGCAGAGCAGTCCAGGGTCCCCTCTGGAGAGGTGACTCACTGTGTGTCACTGTGTCACTCACAGGCTCCTGTTCAGCAGCACCCACTTCCTACTCCTGGTATTTCTGGCATCCGTGCTCCTGAGCATGCCCAGTGCTGTCCTCTGGGTGAACAGACCTCAGGGATGCTCTGGGATGAGTCAGAGCCAGCAGGACTATGAGAACTAGTGACATCCCCTGTCCAGTGACTTAGGCCCTCAGGTGGGTTGGAAGACCTTACTGCCAATAAACTTTGCATCACTCTCCACGTATCTGTGAGAACACTTGGTCTATAAGATTCTTCAGCACGTTTTCTTGTGCATGGTCTTTATCCTCCTAAAGTGCACCTAATCAGTAGGTGCTCCCTGAAGGATGACTACACCTCAGCACCCTGTACGCACCTGCCAGCTTAGCCCTGGACCAAAGTCAACACTCTGAGTCCCCTGGAGCCTTCAATCCCACCAGCAACGTGGCCTTGCACCTGGTCCACTGTTTGCACAGGTAGAGGTGGTTCTGAGACCCACCCTTGACCTTCACTCCCATAACGACCCACACTCCTCAACTCTGGGGACAGTGTGCACATTCTCCCAGTTGCTGAGTACGTCTATTCAGTTACCAGGTCTGGTGTTCATGAGCTCACACAGAGGTCAGGGGCCCACTGGGTCACTACAAGACTGACCTGGGTCATATTCCACGCTCACTGATCTCCACGAGCTCACTCACACCAGTGGACCAAAGCACCATGTTAACCTGCTGGTCACCCTGTCTGTTTAAAACAGTATCCAGGACTCCCCCTAAAGTCTCATGAACCCTTCTTCATGCAGACAAATTGGAACTGGTGTCAGCATCCTTGAGAGCAGGATAGTCAAGACCCATCCTGAAAGATGTGGGCAGCACAGCCAGAGCCTCCTTCTTTCCTCAAGTGTGTGCTGGGACACCCTCCCTTCCAGGACTGGAGGTTTTTGATCCAGCTCCATTTTGGACATTAACTGATGTCCATGACATCGTGTTGGGTAATGTTCTAGTTCACTTTTCTGCTGAAGGGCTGGACCTTGCTTCCTCCTTCAGAAAAAGGGAAACCAGAGGCTGCCCATCAGTTTCAGTCCAAGGAGCAGTGACTACCTTGCCAACACCCAAGGTCTGAGAGCCACACTATTCTGATGGTCCCTCCAGGTCTGCCTGCCCGCTCCTGGGTCCCCTCACTCGGTTCTGTGACAGCACACACTTACTGGAAGCTGGCCCGATGTCAAGCCCTGATTGTGGCATTTGAGTCCAGGGAGGAATAAATATGGCAAGACCCTGCTTTTATAACCTCAGATTCTTTTCTGAAGACAGAAATAATTGACAAATACCAAATCCACAAAGTCAGGGGCTGGGGCTGGGCTCAGTGGTAGAGTGTGTGCTAGCAGGTGAGAGGCCCTGGGTTCCATCTTCTGCATGAGGAGGAGGAGGAGGAGGAGGAGACGGAGGAGGAGGACAAGGAGGACGGGGAGGGGGAGAGGGAGGGGAAGGGGGAGGGGGAGGGGGAGGAAGAGGGGTTTTCACCACCCTCCCTCTGACACCAACCCTGGAGGAGGAAGACGCAAGTCCCTCTCCCTCTCCCTCCACATCACGGCCACCTTCACTCCCATAACTACCCACATTCCTCAGCTCTGGGGGGAAGTGTCCAACCGACACCCACCCACCATTAGTGCTGGCCCCCCCCATATCTAGATCTGGGGCAGGAGGACCAGAAGACAGAGCTTCCACCTGAGGGATGAGGACTCAGCACCAAGAGGGGACACCGGGGACCCTGTCTGGGGTCACAGTGTGAACTAGCCCAGTTGTGTGAAACCAGAAGAAGAGCTGGGGACCCATCAGGCTCAGAGCACCCTGGATGAAGATCCACTGAGGTCACTACTGGAGATAGAGAAGACGGACAGCTCTGGTGCCACTCCCAGGACAGTCCATCACCACAGGCTGAGGGGCCCCGGTCCCCGCCCTCCATTGCCAGGTCAGACCAAGGGCTGGAGTGAAGTGGTCATGGTGGCTGTATCGTGCATTCCTGAGCAGCACCTTTCTGTCCAGCAGGGCATCCTCAGGTCGAGCTCGGGCTAAGCCCTGGACTGGGGTCCCCAGCAGCTGGGAAGGAACCCCAAGCCTCAGTGATGCGCTACGGGTGCGCCCAGCAGCCTCCACTCACAGTCAGAACAGAACCAGGCAGTTGCAGGGCCACCACCTGTCTGTGCCAGAGGCACTGGGTCCCGGGTCCAGCAGGATCCATCCCATGTCAGCGGGCAATGGCCCCAGGTTCCTCCACTCCTGAGCCCAGAGGAGGCACCTCCCTGGATGGTCCCCCCGCATGAAGGCGCACGCAGACACGGCCTCACTTAGCTCACGCTCTGAAGGCTTTCCAGAGTCCCTGTGTGCACGCGGGTCAAGGGACCTGTGCTGGGGACGAGGGCTTCCCTCATGGGGGCTTTGCTGTCACCTGGGAGAGGCCTTGTCTCAGATGAGTGTGGGGCTGGGGGACAGCTGGGGCTGGGATGAGGGTGTCCCTCTGTAGTCATCATGAGGAAAGCCAAGAGGGCGGTGCCTGGTGCATCCCCTGGGCCCCATGAGTGAGGACCCGGTGTCCTCGTTTGCTATGGCCACCTAACAGAGGGCCCAGGCTGAGGGCTCACAGCAGGAACTTCCCATCTCAGTGCTGGAGGCTGAAGTCCCGACCCAGGTGTGGGCAGGGCTGGTCCCTCTGAGAGGGAGAGGAAGGGTCTGCTGCCCCAGGACCCTCCTTGCCTTGCAGGTGGCTGTCCCTGGGTGTCTTCACAACACCTTCCCACTGTGCGTCTGGGTACACAGCTCTCTTTTCCATAGGGACACAGTGGCATTGGGTTAGGGCCCACCCTAAAGACCTCTTCATAACTTGCTTATCTTTGTTAAGACCCTGTCTCCAAATAGGTCACCTCTGAGGTACTGGGGGCAAGGACTCTGTTATGTGAATTTGTGGCGGTCACATTCAGCCCTGGCACTAGGGCTGGGGTCCTGGGTGAGGCTGAGGGAGCGGGCTCTGTGGACCACGATGGCTTCTTGGGGCTGCTCGAGGGCCCTGGGGAGAGGCCCCTGGTGCGGCCTTCGGGTGAGGAATCTCCCCTGGGCCGCTGGGTTCCACTATCCCCTGTGCCTTTGGGCCTCTCTGGCGATGGGGACACCCTACATGGGGCCGAGACTCTGGCATGTTGAGAGTTTTCTTCCTCCAGGAAGCAGGTGGGTTAATAAAGGGAGACAGTTACCTGTGGTCCTCAAGCCAAGGACAGGGCGTGGGAGCCCCTTCCAGGTTCAGTCTGCAGCTCTGGGTCCAGGAGGCTCTGGGCGAGACGCCCTGCCGCTCCGAGTCTCTTTCCTACCTGCCTCCTGGACTTTCCTGTCTCAATAACAGACCAGGAGGAAACTGGCCCTCAGCCTCCTCATAGGTAGAGTCCTGATGGGATGCCACGGGGGGGGCTCAGTGTCCCCCACTGCAGAAGTCACCAAGGCACGGCCATCTCCCCACCTGTAAGTGCCACCCCACCCAGGAGTGAGCAGCATCAGCCTGAGGCCACGACGTCTGGGCAGTGGAGAAGAATCCCACCTCCCAGCAGGCAGGAGCTGGCAGTGTCCCCTTCTGCAATGAGAAAACTGAGCGAGGACACACCTGCCACTCAGGCTCCGACCTTCCCAGCTGTGGAGGCCCATTGCCACAGGCAGGGGACCTCCCTGCTGTCAGGCGCCTCTCATTCACCTCCTGCCCCTGGTCACCTGTGGAGGGGTCCCTGGCAAGTGCCTGTGTCTCAGAGGGGATACTAGGACAGTGTGGGGAGAGGCCTCTCAGGTTCTGCCATCTCACAGAAGTCACAGGCTCT